CTCTCCAAGGGATTAATCCATCTCAGGTACAGGAATGTATGTTTGTCCTTGCTTAATTCCATGAAATAGGATGGCAGAAGTTGAGAGGTGCATTTTTGGGATGACGAGGCTATGTGGTTCAGGTTTTTATTGCAGTAGTTTAGGAACTTTTGGAGTTTTTCCTAAGTCATACCTGATTTTAAAGTGTTATTATAAATTCCCACAGAATTTATTATTATAAATATTATACAAATATTATTATAAAATATATAAGAATTATATTATAAAAATATTATTACAAAATAATCTTAAATGTATTTTTAGATCTTGGTATACTTGGTTAGTAAAATAGAGGAAGAGAAAAAGAGTGATTTTATTCATGCTTAGTTTGTGAGTCACTGCTTCACAGAATCACAAGATCACAGAATGATAGAATGGTTTGGGTTGGAAGGTTATCTGCTTCCAGCCCCCTGTTGTGGGCAGGGATATCCTCTACTAGGTCTGGTTACTCAAAGCCTCATCCAACCTGGCCTTGGAAACTGTGGCTGGGGCATCCACAGCTTCTCTGGGCAACCTGTGCCAGTGTCTCTCCACCCTCAGAGTGAATTTTTTCTTTACATCTAATCTAAACCTGCCCTCTTTCAGTCTAAAGCCACTTCCTCCTGTTCTATCACTACATGCTTGTGTAAAAAGTCACTCTCTTGCTTTCTTTTAGGCCCTCTTCAGGTACTGGAAGTCTGCTAGAAGGCCGCAGAATCACAAAATAGGTTATGTTGGAAGGGATTCACCACAGTGGATCTGTGTTCTGATCTCCCCACTCAAATAGGAACATCCTGGAGCACATGGCATAGGATTGTGTCCAGGCAGTTCTTAAATTATCGGTGAAGGAGATTCCACAGCCTCTCAGGGCAATCTGTTGCAGTGCTCAGTCACCCACAGAGTAAAGACGTTCTTCCTCATGTTCAGGTGGAATTTCTTGTGCATCAGGGTCTGCCCATTGCCTCTGGTCCTATTGATTGGCACCTCTGAGAAGAGCCTGGTCCCTTGTATTGATACCCTCCCTTCAGATACTGATAGACATTGATGAGGTCTCTTCTCACTTGTCTCCTCTTGAGGCTGAACAAGCCCAGGTCCCTCAGCCTGTCCAGCACCTGGGGGTATTGGCCACTCTTCCCAGCTTTCTATCATCAGTGAAGCATCTGCCCCGTCATCCAAGTCATGGATGAACAAGTTAAACATTACAGTGTTGAACCTTGAGGGACATCACTAGGGACAGGCCTCCAGCTAGGCCCTGTGTCACTGATTCCGACCCTCTCAGATCTGTTTTTTTTTCTAGTTCTCCATCCACCTCACTGTCCACTCATTCAGCCCACATCTCTGAGTTTGTCTGAGGAAATCTACTGAAGTTGAAGCAGACAATATCCACTGCTGTCCCTTCATCCATCCATACAAAAGATGGTAGTCAGGTTGGTAAAGGAGGATTTAACTGAGTGAAGCCCTGCTGACTATTCCTGATCACCCATGTGGATAGCCTTCTGAATGAGGTGTTCCATCACCTTTCCAGGGATCAAAGTGAGGCTGACTGGTAGTTCCCTGGTCCTCATTCTTTCCCTTGTTGAGCACTAGTTTGACATTTGCTTTCTTCCATTGTGAGCAACCTTGCAGTTGTGTCTACCAGCTCTCTCAGCACTTGTAGATACATTCTGTCAGCACATACAGACTTGTGGATGTCAAGTTTGCCTAGGTAGTGTCTACCCCTACCTTCTTTGACCAAGGGAAAGTCTTCATTCCAGTATTGCTTTACACTGGTCTCCTGGGTCAGAGAATACTGAGGACTGGTCTTGTCGGTGAAGTCTGAAGCGAAGAAGACAGTCAATGAAATGTGTTCTTCTGGCTTCTCTTCATTCTCTGTTACCAGGGTCCCTCCCTCCATTTAGCATCATAACTCTTATTTTTCTTTTGTTAATGATATATTTGAAGACATCTTTCTTGTTGTCTTTGACATCCTTGGTCAGATATAATTCCAGGTGGGCCTTGGCTTTCCTGGTAATTTCTATTACTTTGACAGTCTCACTGTATTCATTAGAAATGGCCAGACCCTGCTCCTAACTCCTGTGTATTTCCTGCTTACTCTTGAGTAATGACAGGAGTTCCTTGTTTATCCATGCAGGTCCCTAGACCCATTTGCCCAATTTCTTCCTCATCAGGATGCGTTATTCTTGAGTCTGGAGGAAGACCAACTGTCTTTAACCCCTATTTCCTGTAAATCCTCTTACCATGGGAATCTTCCAGTAAGATTCCCGAAGGCCATGGTTACAGTCTTACTTGCTATCCTGCTTCCTCTTCACCAGATACTGAACTTCACAATCTCATCATCACTGCAGCCAAGGCTGCCCCCAGCCTTCACACCAGCCACAAGTCCTACCCTACTTGTTAGTATGAGGTTGAGCAGCACACCATTCCTCGTGGGATCCCCCACCTGTGACAGGGACTAGTCATCAGTGCTTTCCAGAAATCTCCTGGACTGTATTGTGCTTTGCTGTGATGCTTCTCCAGCACTTGTCAGGGTAGTTAAAGCACCCCACAAGAACCAGGGTCTGTGACTTTGAGGCTACTTCCAGCTGTCTGTAGAAGGCCTCATTTACTTCCTCCTCCTGATCAGATGGCCTGTAGGAAACACCCCAGAGTCTTCTCCAGGCTGAAGAACTCCAACTTGCTCAGCCTGTGCTTACAGTAAATGTGCTCCAGCCATTTTCTGGACTCAGTTCAGTGGGTCCATGTACTTCTGGTGCTGGGGGCACCAGAGCTGGATGCAGCACTGAAGGTAGGGTTTCACAAGAACAGAGCAGATAGGGCATATCACTTCCCTCTTCTCCTGGCCACACTGCTGTGGATGCAGTCCAGAATACGATTGGCTTTCTGGGCTTCAAGTGCCAGGTCTTATAAAGCCCACCAACAGTCCAGTTCATTCTTCTCAGGACTTCTCTCAATCCACTCTCCACCCAGACTGTATTTGTGCTTGGGATTGCCCTGACCCATGTACAAGACCTTTACACTTAGCCTTGTTGAGCTTGATGAGGCTTGCACAGGCCCCCCTCTCAAACCTGTCAAGTTCGCTCTGGATGTTGTCTCTTCCATCCAGTATCTTGACCACACACAGCCTGGTGTCATCACCAAACTTGCTGAGGGTGTGCTCAGTCCCACTGTCCATGTCCCTGACAAAGATGCTAGACAACAGTGGTCTCAAAACCAACATCTGAGGAACATCACCAGCATTGGTCTCCTCTTGGACATGAGCTGTTGCTGGAGCTCTTTGACTGCAACCATCCAGCCAATTCTTTATCCACTGAGTGGTCCACCTATCAAATCCATGTTTCTTCAGTCTAGAGACAAGGACCATGTCAGATGTTTTGCACAGGTCCGAGTACATGAAATCAGTTGCTCTTCTCTCATCTATGACCCTGTAATTCCATCATAGAAGACCAAATTCATCAGGCCTAATTTGCCCTTTGTGGAGTCATGTTTGCTGTCACCACTCACCTCCTTATTTTCCATGTGTCTTAGCATAGTTTCCAGGAAGATCTGCTCCATTGTCTTGGTGGGCACAGAGGTGAGAATGATTGGCCTGTAGTCTTACTCTTCCCCTTTTTTTAAAACAGAGGTTATAATTCCCCTTTTCCAATCAATGGTAACTTCACCAGACTGCCACAACTTCTCAAATGTGGTGGATAGTGGCTTGCTTCCTCAGAATGCGTTTCATCAGGTGCCATGGACTTCTGCACCGTTAGGTCCCATAGACTTGTGCATCTTCAGTTCCTGAGGATGGTTGCAAACCTGATCTTGTCCAACAGTGGGTGGTTTCTCTCTCAGCCTTTCTTCCGAAGAAAAATACTCCAGTCCCCTAACCATAACCCTGCAGTTTACAGCTTCCTCACAAGTTGAAATGGGTATGTGTTGATCTCTTTTCTCTGATGAGCACTGCTACGACCTGGGAAACCAGCATGAAGCTGTGTTCCCTGGATATCAGGAAAAGGTTCTTCACTCTGAGGGTGGTTGGGCACTGGAACAGGGTCCCCAGAGAAGTGGCACAGCACCAGCCTGACAGAGTTCAAGAAGTGTTTGAATAATGCTCTCAGGCATATGGAGTGGTTTTGGGGATTATCCTGCACAGAGCTAGGAGTTAGACTCTACTTACGGGTTCCTTCCCAGCTCTGGATATTCTATGATCCTATGATTGTCTTAATAGTCCTTCACTGGACCCTCTCCAGTAGTTCCATGTCTTCTTGGCCTTCTACAATTCAAGCAGCGTAGCCAGAGCACTTGCCAGTGAAAACCAAGGCAAAAAAAGTCATAGGTTACCTCAGCCTTCTGTATGTCCGGGGTAACCACATGTCCTGTTTCCTTCCAGAGAGGGACCACATTTTCCCATCTTGCTTTTATCACCATCATACCTATAGAAGCTTTTCTTGTTGTCCTTGATGTCTCTGGTGAGGTTTAATTCTATCAGGGCTTTAGCTTTCCTTGCCTTATCCCTGGCTTCTCAGACATTTGCTGTCTGTTCCTCCCAGGCTACCTGTTTTGCTTCTGCCCTTTGGTTTATGTCTGTCCACAAACTCCTTGTTCACCCATGTAGGCCTGGTATTTCTGCCTGACTTCCATGTTGTTGGGATGCATCCTCCCTGAGCTTGGAGGAGGTGATCCTTGAATATTAGTGAGTCTTCTTGGCCTTCCTCCCATCCAGGGCTTTATCCCATTAGTGACTTCACCAAACAGGTCTCTGAAAGTCTGAAGTCTACTCTCCTGAAGTCTGGGGTTTTAGTGCCATCATGGTTGGAGTCACGTCTAGCATGCTGGGTTTCCAGCCAAGCAGAAGTGGCCTGGTAGTGAAATGTTACCCCTGTGCATATAATCTCTTACAAGCAATGTTTTTACCATTCCAGCCACCAGTACTAATCATAAGTATTGTTTTGATGGTTTTGGCTCTGTACCTTTCCTACATTTTACATCATTTATTTCTCTAGGTATTGCCAGGCATCTGAAGTGGTTGACTAAGACCTAAGGATTTGGAACAGTGGTGAGTAAATGGAATTGTGATTATATTTTCTGTGTTTTCACATGCTGTCTGACTCTGAAGTTTTGCTACTGTATGAAGGATTAAAGATGTTCAGTAGTTTATGTCTTTTGAATATTTTCTTCTGAGCACCAAGTTCCTATTCAGAGCATTCAGACAACTTTTTAAAGCCGAGATTTTAAGAAGGAGAGGAGGAGGTAGTCTCATTGGCTGCTCTTGATAAGACAATCCACTCCTCATAGCACCCTGACTTTGAAAAAAACTTTCAAGTAGCAGTTCAACCTGTACTTATTGAAGTGGTAACTTGACCCATCGTATTAAAATAACGATGCCCGAATTGGCGTTTCAGAATAATGCAATTTTTTACATTTAGCAATTATAAAATGAGATACTATTCTAGAATACATCATTATAGAATATCATTCTAGAAACCTGAAGTAAGTTAATAAATTACTCAAAACTGAATATTTTCTTTCTTGAAACTGCAAACTTTGTTGTTTTTAACTCCCTCTGTGCAAGCTGTGGTATCTTTTGCAAAGTTAAATTATTCTCCTGATCCCCTATGCTTATTGCTGATTCTTTGCACTGTGTGTGCCAAATACTTATCATTTTGACTAGAGAAGAGTGCGAGAAGGATCCAAGTAAGAACTTTAAAAGTTTCAAATTCTTAAAAAAGTGAGTTTTGTAATATTTTTATAAATATATTACCTGCACTTCCCTGTCTGTAGGTGTAGGCTGTCAAAGAGAGCCTTATAAATGCACAGATAAAATCAGTGTTACTTGTACTTTATAATCGTAGAACAGAAGAGAATCATAGAATCATTAAGATTGGAAAAGACCTCCAAGATCATTGCGTGCAACCCTTGACCAGATGCCACCATATCAGCTAAGGACATGAAGTGACACATCCAGTAGTTTCTTGAACACTTCCAGGGATAGTGACACTACCATGTCCCTGTGGAACCTGTTGCAATGCTTAACAACCTTTTAAGTGAAAAAATCCTTCCTGATGTCCAACCTGAACCTTCCCTTGGTGCAGTTGGAGCCATTTCCTCTTGTGCTGTCACTGTCTGCCTGGGAAAAGAGGCCAATGGAAGAAGAATAAAATAATACTTCCAAAAAGCAACTGCATTTTGTTGCCAAGAGATAGTTATTTGGAATAAAGTAATGTTTCTGATTCTCTGGTTTCCATGGCAGAGCCAATTTACATGAAATATTTATTATTTAAGGGATTTTGTTTGATTTCAGTGCAGTTGGTAGCAAAGGTTTAGAACCCATGTATTTTGTTCCATGTGCTGTTGACTTTGGTGACCAGTGAGAAACCTTTGCCTTGCTTTTTTATTAGTTTTTGCTTTAATGGGCTCTGAAGAATATGTTTGTTCTTCATTTCAAAAATTAGCATTTAGTTACAACTTTGAAGGAATCTGTTTAGAATATTTGCATTCATGTAGGTCTATATTTATTATGACCTCTCTATTTCTGCTAGTATTTTACTAGAAAAAGTAGATAAGTGAATTTAAAGTTTTTTAGTCAGTTCCAGATAATTCTTTTTTTGCCTCCATTTTAATCTAGCCCTCTGCTCCCATCCTGCACTGCCTGACAATTATCAGGACTAAACTGTATCCATGTTAACATGCTGTATCCATGTTATCATCTGTGCACAGACAGAAAGAAAGCATTATAGACAGTTCATATATCTTTATTCAACAAAAAATACAGGTATTCTTTTTTTCAAGCTTGATGCTGTTTTAGAATGTGATACTTAAGAATTAAAGAGGCTCTTATTAAATTAGAATTAGACTCTTATTAAATTAGACTCTTATTAAATTAGAATTGCTTTTGGGGTAGAATATAACTTACTTTATAATAATGTGCCTCAGACCAGCTATGGAGAGAGTTCTGTGACACTTAAAAACAGAACAGCAACACTAGCGTGTGCATTAATATCCAAACTTAAAAAACATCTTGAGTGACTGCAAGTAACATCAGGTGGGAAGCCAGTGTACAGGGTGTATGTACCAAATGTAGTGGTGATGATGAAATTGGACAGTTGGTAAGATTAGCTCTGTAATATGTTAAAAAGAAAATTGAAATTATAAGTTTTCCTCCATAACAAAATATGTAAATAATACTCTCTGTCTCTAGAGCACAGCAAAATCGAGTTGTCTGCATTTTATTTAAAAGCATTGTGTGATTTGTCTTGGGGAAACATTTAAAAATACTTAAACACTTACTTGCTTAAAAATTTTCAGCTGTAGCAAAACAATAATATTGTAACTGGAAGCAATCAATAAATAACAAGGATAAAACTTTAAAGGATCAAATTACCTTCTGCTAGTCTCTTAATAAAATCTTCTATTTCGCTTACTCTTTTGAGCATTCACATAGATCCTCACTTGTGTGTGCTCCTTTTGTTGCAATATAAGTAGGACAGAAGCTTATAATGCCTTTTCTAATAAACATGATGGATAGACTCTGAAATTGTATTAGGCAAGAGAGCACCAGTTATTTTTGTTTTTCCATGTAATATTAGCCAAGAAGTGATTGCTTAGTGCAGGGGTGCTAAGATCCTTCCAGGACCTCACATCACAGTTTCTGGTAATCCACACTCCAGTGAGATGAGTCAGCAAAAGTAAGTGCTGTGCTAGATGCTGGTGCTGGACATCTCTGTAGGTGTTAATGTGCTTGGGGAGTGTTAGTCTCAAAACTCTAATGGGTGATAGTAAAATTATTGAATATGTGAATGCTTGATCCTGTCTTCTAATAGCTGAAGTTTCACCAGCCACTTGCTGGTATTTTTGACAGAAGATGATACAAAGCTGCAGTTCTTGGACCATGGAGTTCTGTCATTGCAGCTACTCTGGAACCTGCCAGCTGATGTGACATATATTCTTTTGTGGTACATGAAAATAAATGTTTCAACTAGCTAGTCCTGTTCCTCTTCAGGTACTACACTTACCTAACTTTCCTAGATAGGATCCTTGGTGGGCTTTTGCCTTGGAAACAACTGTGAGAAATCAAGGTGAATGAAAGCAAGCAAAGTGTCTTTCTTCAGGTCTTTCCTTGTGATGTGATAACCATCAGAGGCGGAAAAGCTGTGGTTTGCTCAAGATGTTCTAACTGCCATCTGTGTGCTGAAATTTGCCATGTGATGGTATTTTGTGACTTCAGGAATAATTGTGTTTCTGATTAAATTCTGCCATATCTTAACCCTGAAATAGAAAACTTGTTGATAGATTTGAAGTGACCAAAGGGTCTCTCTCTGTGTGTTAAATCCGTGTAGTTGGCAGCAGAATACAGATGGGGAGAGGGAACTGATTTTAGGGATTTGTGTTTGGTTTGGGATGTATGATTCTGTTTCTAAAAAATACAGTTTTGTACTATGTACATAACAGCACAGAGTGGGTTTGTACTTTTAGAAACAAAAAATAGAGATGTGACCAGTGTTTCTGTATTTATTTGGATTTATTATAGCCAGGTTAAATAGGAAGCTATACTGCTTTTCTTTTTTGAACCATCTCCTTTCTGTGTCTATGCTTTGCCTTTTTTATTTTTCATGTAGTTCATCTTGGTTTACTCCTTCTTTACATTCCGTACTTTAGGATGATCTAAAAGTACTAATTACAAATTGCACCTCAATACTATTTAATAAAAACAAAAATAAGGGTGGATTTTTTTTTCAATTTTCTTTCCTTTTGTCTGTCATTAGAGGGGAGAAAGGACATGTTACTGAGTCAGGAAAATATTATGGTTTCAAGTTCTTTCCTTCAGAAGGCACTGGGAACTTTTAGATGGTGTAAACCACACTGACCTGATAATTTGCTTATGGAGTAGCAAATACAATGGTTCATTTTGGTGTTATTATTTCTGGAAGCTAGTGTGGTTCTTGTCATGGAGATGCCATACCACAAATAGTGAGTTAACAGGAATTGCTGCCACAGGAAGAAGTGTGATGTAATGCATAGAGCTGCCTGTCCCAACTGCTGCATTTGACTTCTGCCTCTGTTATTAATCTGCTAATATTAGAAAAGGTACTGATTTTCTTACTCCTTTTGTCAACTTAGGTTGCAGGGTCTTTTTGCATGTATTGAGCCTCAGTTTGTGTCACTATGCTTTGGTACCCTCATTTGGTATAGTATTGCAATTTTTCCTTGCAGTTTCTCATTAGCTCTCAGAAACTCACTGTATTATGTGGAATCCTGACGACACTTGAATATTTATTCTACAAGAGGAAAGCTAGTAATACTTTCCAGAGCATGGTTTAATATTGCATTTGGTCTTGTGCTGATTCAACTGCAGGCTGATGCCAAAAGGGATACTTCAGCCTATTCTTTCCCGCTCTTGCATCAGCCCCCAGTCCCAAGGTGAGTTCAAGGTAAGCAGCTGAATCAAAAAAAAAACCCACTAACTGCCTGGGAAGGAAAACTAAATCAGGAAACTCTGCTGGCCTGGCTTGTCCTGTGGATGAGAAATTACTACATGCAACAAAAGGGACTAAGACACAATAAGCAGCTGGAAGTAGGTGGGGAGAGTGATACTGTTTCTTTCAGCAACAGGTAATAAATATACCAGATGAGACATAGTATGGAAACCTAGGCTTATTAAGCGCTGCATTTTACAACCGTATTTTGAACACAAGAGTGTCTTGTAATGGATGTGACAGCCCAGCTACAGTTCTGATGATATTAGTTACTGATACTAGGTATTCTTCACTGGACGTATTTTTTTCTAATACAACTTTGTAATTGGTTTTTTTTCTTAAAGTAACAGTTGTCTTTGTTATCCAGCTTAAAATTTCAGGGCGTATTTCTGATGCCTAGATATAACCTTTTATTTAATTTTTATTTAATCTGAAGTTCATTTAACTCTGAAAATCAGATGACAGGAGCTGCTCTTGATGTGATAGTTTCTATAGACCTTATATTCATAATTTCCTCTTTAGACTCTGACAAGAAATTTGATTTGTCCTTGAGAGTTATTTGTGTAATTCGAGTTGATTCTTT